CCAAGATTATGCTTATTTGCTGTTTGAATTAATCTATATAATCTGCCAATATCTACTCAATTTTGGTTAAAAGAGAACAAAGAAAAATTACAAGCACATACGTTCAAAGTTACCAAACCTTGCTATTTCCCTCCTTCCACCAAAACCTCCACATAGTTTCAGGTCTTTGCAGCTTCTTAAGCAAGCAGAATTTACATATAAATTTCACATCACTGGTAAAATACTGTAGTGATATAAACTATTAATGAATTATTAGGAATCACATTAATATACGGTACTCAATTTCGATTGAAATATACGGTAATTAATATTACCAACAGCAATGACTTTTCCTGCAAGATCGTTCATTTATTATTATGCTGGATAGATGATTAAAAAATAATGATTTTCTACAATACCGGTAAAAGAATTTTTTAAAGAATTTATTAAAGTTCTGATATAGCATCTTGCAGCTACTATAACAAACAGCACGATTTCTTACTAATTTTATAATGTCAACTGTATCAGCCTAGCAATAACAATTTCAACTTAATCCTACGTAAATTTCGGGGCTGCTCTATGTAAGTGTAATTGCATTACTAATCCCCATTTTAAAAGACCGTTACTTCTATTTAACTGATAGTACCGTTGTAAGCCATCATTTTGATGTTCTCTAGCCTAAAATACTAATTTTCCATGATTAGTTTTACTTCTTCGCAATAATACAGTTAATATAAATGATAAATACACTTGCAATTCCATGAATATGTGATTACGATATTATGATAAATCCTAACCAGAGTCAAGTCATTGGGCTCATGCTATATTTACGCTATATACTATATGCATGCTATCTATGTATAGCATATACATATACTTTGATAATTCAATTTTGCCCTTCCCATACGATTATGGAAAATAAGTTTCCATTTGAAGACACTAGCAGCTATGCAATTAGTGTTAGCTTTATGTAAGTGTTTCTTTAAGCAAGTATAATGAAGGAAGTCGGTGGTAGGCAATGTACGATATAGTAGATTAATGTTGAAGTATATCGACAGTTTATACTCGTCGCTATTTATCATTAGCTTCAATGAATATGTTGTTATTGCTTACTGCTGATTGTTATTGCTTAATAAAAATACGCAACTTAAAATACCCATAATTATATTGCA